CCTGGGGCCTCTAGCCGGAAAAACTTACCCTCGGGAAGGCCTGGCACTCGCTTGTTCCGCGTAGGGCAGGCCTAGCTTATTGCCTGGAGCCGCCGCCAGGGTGGGAGAAAGTCTGCGCGGTTTCGTAACTCAAAACCCAATGGGTTTCCAAATGCGCGTAGAAGCTTACGCAGACCCACCCGGTCACTTAGAAATTATGCCCATTGATCCAGCTAGAAATAATTGCCGATTTCCACCAAACAAAATAGAGCGCCTTGCCCCTCTGAAGGATCCGGCGCTGAAAAAAAAATTCTCTCCACACAGTGCACCCGTCTCTACCCCTTCTCCCACCCCGCCCCACCACACACTCGCACCCCGCCCCCGTCTGGCCACTCTGGGACCCATTGCATCCCCGGATCTCACTGAAGGAGCGGCATACCGAATGGCCTTTCTCTCTACAACGAACCTTGGCAGACGTCTAAGATAATCTGATATCCGCTAAAATCCCTAGTAATTATTTCAGTGCAGGAACGAACCTGGGCATGAGATATGGCACCCCAAATTGTAACCAGCTAAAAGAGCCTCCTCATCAGAAAAATAAAACTGTGTAGGTAAGAAGCCTTTACCTTTTGCAACGAACCTTGGGAAACATTGGTTTCCTCACAAGTGGGGGCTAAGGTGGTCTCGGTCCTCATTTCTCTTGATCTCTGTAAGAAAATCGATTTTGTTTCTATTTGTGTCTCCTGATCATACTCCAGGGGTCTCTAGGTTTATTTATTTCTTTATTTCCCCCAAGGTCCAGGCATGCTGGACTTGTATCTTACAGTAGACCTTGATAAACGAAGCTGGAGAGAAGTCAGCTTCCCGGCCACTGCCCCCCAGTCAAGCGTGACAAGGCAGTGGGCTGGTTGCGTGACTTGTGACGTCTCTAAGCCTTATAGGAGCAGCGGCTGGTGAGATAGTCGCTATCGCCTGGTTGCCTCTTTATTTTATTGGGGTATGCCTGGCAATAAACAGTAATATTTAATTTGTCGGAGACCACAAGCCAACGACAAGCTGGGAGGTACTTACTTTTCTTGATAGATCCTGGAAGAAGTCTTCGTTTTAAAAGGGGGTCTTTGGGGGGGGGATGTCCTTGTGAGCTACCTCACTTCAGTGAGCAAACCCCTTTTGGCTTCTGGGCTGAAGGAAGAGTGAGGTTATTGGAGGTGAGTCTTGTGGGGGGGGGACTAAAGGGAGGGACAGGGCGGCCTTAATTTTCCCCAGAGTCTTTGCTTCCCACCCTACCTAAGCCTGACTGAACCCCTTCCTTACTGAATCTTATCTTCTGTCACCTGTAGGACTGGATCTCTTGCACCAGGTTTTAAGAAAAATACTCAAAACAACATTGCATGGTGGCTGGCTTCGTGCACCATCTACGCTCAGGGAGGGAAGTGTATCTGGCTGGGTGGTTGCTTAGGGAAGGCCAGATTTTCCCTCTCGGGAAGGGCCTGCTGATTATTTATGGGGATTAATTTTATCCTCAAATCTCTGCAAATGTAAAAAGGATTGGAGAGGTCTGTCTGGATTTCCCCTTCCCTCAACCAGAGGCGCAGGCTCTCCTACCGAGGTCAGACCAACTTTTGGTCCTCCAACCCGAGGTTGAGGTTGCCTCCGTTCAACCCTAAAGGCTTCCTAGCCGACTTTTTGAAGAGTGAAGGTGTTTGCACAAATAAATAGCTGGCCTTGGACAGGGTCTGTGTGAAAACAGACCTGGAAGCTAGAGGGGTGGGGTTGCCCCTAGCTGCCCCACATTTACAACTGCAAAGTCCACTGGTGAAATTTTGCAGGAACGGCCTGCAAATTTTGCAGCCACAGAGGCTATGATGTTGCTGGAGTCCTGTAGGGGCATTCTCCCCCCCCCCTCTCTGTCTCTCTCTCTCTCCAGTCCTTGGCTCTAAGGATGTAGTCTCTAACTAAGAGTTCCAAGCTGGAGAGGGAAACAGAATGTGATTGTGATCTTGGGCATTTCTTTCAAGCAACATTCTGTGTTGTCCCAGCCTGGTCCTGCTTACAGCAAGACCTACTTCCAGTGTCTCGGCTGTGGCTATGGGCGGCTTTCATTCGCCTTCTGAACTGTAGAATTCAGAGAGTCGAAGGGCAGGCCAAGGAGTGCTGGCAGCTGAACCCCCCCCCCTCCCCGGCCAGCCCTCAGTGACTGATTATTTTAATAAAACTGGGCACTGTTCTGTGTACACTCCAGTGTGTGTCTTGAAGGGGGTGGGGGACACACACAACGATTTCTTGGCATCTTTGATCTTGGTTCCCCCATCCTAAGGCACCTTCTCCCCCAAGTCCTAGAGAGCTTGAGGTGGGGGGGGGGAGCAATGAGCCTGAAGTGGAGGAGAGATGTCAAGGCAGCTAGTCCTGGCTCCACACAGGGCCAGGCAGGGTCACACCGCTCTCTGTCTGAGGTCAGCATTGGAGACAGAAATCGGGTGAGGTTGCAGAGGCCCGTGGGTGTGTGTACAAGCCTAGCGCATCCAGTCTTGGTTCTCTGCAGGGCCGGGCCATTGAAATCGCTGGGCTTCTCAGAGTTCTGCTTTGATTCCTGTAGCCTTCCTTCTTTCCTTCCTTCCTTCCTTCTCTTTCTTTCCTCTCTACAGCCACTGACTCAGAGCAGCCAACCGAGATGGAAGGGGGATAAAGAGAATGGGAGGTGGGAAGGGAGTGGGGGTGGGGAACCGGCAGATCTAGAGAGGGGGTCCTGTAGTGCCTGTAGTGGCTCAAGAGTTTGGGGTATATCTAGTGAAAGAGTGGGAAAGGTGGTGGGAG